TACTGTATGTTAAAGGCAAAAGACATCTGCCTCAGCTTCAATCAAGGAAAAATAGACCAACTATACAGCAGGCAAAGGCTATGATGACTGGAATCTTGTTTATCAATGGATTTAATTAATCCTTTGGCTTGAGGGCAGCAAAATTTTGTCTTAAAGTAGCAGATCCTATTTCATCAAACCACAGCTCAAGTTGCAAGTAAAGGCAAACATGAATCTGTATCTCTCAATATGGATATTTTACTCTGATTAAAAACATGAAGGAGGGTTTTTTGGGATAAGCAATATGAAAATTGCTGAGCAGAGCTGAGGGAAAAGAGATGGAAAAGAGATAGTAAGAGAAACTCCAGGCAGATGTAATGGCAGGATATAATAGCCATGCCCGGAGTGTCGATGGAGCTTGAAGGAGCATGGCATGGAGACAGACATGTGAAGGAGACAGGGTGGTGGGAGGACCAGCCAACTGAGCATGTTGCCAAACTGGAGCGATTCAATAACTGTGTAATTAACACAGCCTTGGAGATGAGGAAAATGATATTCTCAAAAGATCATCGGTCACTGGTTAAAATGGCTTGAAGAGCGGATGAGAGTAACATTCCATTTCATAACATATACTCTTTGAATGGATTTGGCCAACAGTCTAGAGATTTTCTTTCAATTGACCAACAACTTGATTTCCAAAGATGGGGGTCACTTTGGATAAGATGTGTGACCCTGCAGGGAGTAACGAAAATAATTCTGCCTGGGCACTCTTGGAGGATACATTAATGTCTGATTGATTTATCATTCATCTTCTCAGCACCTAGCAAAGTACTTGATAAATTTGGGCTGAAAACTTAAAATTACCAGCTTTCCTCACTCTATGTGTCCCCTTCCAATCAATAGATGTCCTACATGGAGGGAAGAGCCTAACTCTTGCTTTAGTATTTACACTAAATAAACCCTCACTCTGCATATTTGCTTTCTGCTTAGAAGCCAAGAAAAGACTTGCTAGCACAATTTGATCCATACTCCTGAATAAAAAATCAGCAAAGGCTGGGCGCGGTGGCTCACACCTGTAATCCTAGCACTCTGGGAGGCCGAGGCAGGAGGATTGCTTGAGCTCAGGAGTTCGAGACCAGCCTGAGCAAGAGCGAGGCCCCGTCTCTACTAAAAATAGAAAGAAATTAGCCAAACAACTAAAAATAGAAAAAATTAGCTGGGCATGGTGGCATGTGCCTGTAGTCCCAGCTACCTGGGAGGCTGAGACAGGAGGATCGCTTGAGCCCAGGAGTTTGAGGTTTCTGTGAGCTAGGCTGATGCCACAGCACTCTAGCCCGGGCAACACAGTGAGATTCTGTCTCAAAAAAAAAAAAAGAAAGAAAAAAATCAGCAAAGACAAAGTTATTCTTTGGTCAAACGACAAAGATTGCAGCCAGTATATAAGTGGGGTTATTTTTGAAAATCGCACCATAGATCTCAAGAATATAACTGTTAGACGATTGATATGGAATATGTGAGAATAGGCTGCAGCAAGTCTTTAAGCATAAAGCCAAGATAGGTCAAGTTTATCTATTAACTTCTTGTAATAAGATTTAATCATGCTCTGCCAGTCTTTTTTTTAAAAAAACCAGACTATCTGGATCATGCAATAATTTTGAGATGCACTGAGAAATAAGAAGAGAATTATCAGGCTCATACTTATTTTTTACCTCCACAGAGAGTAGCATTCTCCAGTCATGGGCAGAACCCTTCTAAGCTAGTATAAATAACCTGAGTGTTATCTGTAACTAGACTCCTGTTGATAAATATTGGTTTTGTAGTCATTACTTTATTTATTTCAAATCCTCAATAAACAGAATCTTCATTCAGTGGAACAGTGATTTGCAAACACTGCTATATGTCAGAATTTTCTGCAGAGCTTGGTAAACATGCAACTGCCTGGATCCAATTCTATTAAATCACCCAGGAAGATTTTTTAAAATGCTGATGCCTGACCTCATCCCAGACCAATTGGATCAGAATTTTCCAAGGATAAGACCCAGGTATTGAGGCCAGGCGCGGTGGCTCACACCTGTAATCCTAGCACTCTGGAAGGCTGAGGCGGGCCGTTTGAGCTCAGGGGTTCAAGACCAACCTGAGCAAGAGTAAGACCCCGTCTCTACTAAAAATAGAAAGAAACTGGCCAAACAACTAAAAATAGAAAAAATTAGCTGGGCATGGTGGCACGTGCCTGTAGTCCCATCTACCTGGGAGGGTGAGGCACGAGGATCTCTTGAGCCTAGGGGTTTGAGGTTGCTGTGAGCTAAGCTGACACCACGGCACTCTAGCCCAAGCAAGAGAGTGAGACTCTGTCTCAAAAAAAAAAAAGACCCAGGTATTGGTATTTTCTAAAAGTACCCATGTGAGAGTCTTAGGTATAGACTTGGGTTGAGAACTTCTGCCCTATTGATTCTGATTTAGTAGGTCAGAGTGGGGCCAGGCCTCTTCATGTTGAATAGGTGTCACAAGTGATTCAGTCCCATGGTCTCTGGACCTTATTCTTAAGAACAGTGGCCTAGGTCAAGTCAAAGATTGAGGTAACTCCAAAGCTCTATGAACCAATGACTTTCGAAATGGTCACATCTCACTTTTCCTTTGACATCTTTTCTATTATAACAACATCTCTTAAATAAAATTCGGTCTACACGGTAAGGAGGGAGAATTACTTTCAACAGGACAATCAGATTTGTGAACTGATTACACACAGTTAGAGATATAAAATGTGTTACATTAGGGCAAAAGTTGATTTTCATCTGAATGTTTTATCAGAATTTCATAAGCTAATAGCTGCATTTCTAAGAGAAAACTAACTCAAAATTAATATCTAACAAAAATCAGTTTTAGAAATAAGCTTTAATTCAGAAAACATTATTTATATTAAATCATAATTACAATTTAAAAGCTATTTAAAATAAAGAGCCAAAGGGGTAGGTGCAAGGAGAGTCATTGCAGCATTATTTTT